TCGAACTGGAAGGGGTTTAGACGGACCCGGTCCAATCGGTGACATTTGACGGCCAAAACACCAATCATCTTGTCGAGGTATTTAATGAAGTGCGATTGGTTGGATTCACTTGAAGTTACGGTGGATTCACTTGAAGTTACAACGGATTCACTTGAAGTTGAAAAGGTATAGATACCAAACATTATATCAGGTTCCCGCTCAGGTTGATTGGACCTAACTGTAAAAATTTGTGTCTTGGTCTCTCCATGTTTTGGAAACCACTTCTGTGTCAACAAAAGACGCCTTCTCCCATTTATAAGTGCTTATTTTGTAATTCGTTCCATATATAAACATTGTATTTGTCTGCAGTAGGCACCAGTTGAGATGCAGCGAAATTATCCAGGACATAAATCGTGCAATGCTGCTATACTGGCTTCTCTTTTCAACTTTATCACGGGGAAAGCTTGTTTCACTCTATGTTTTCTTACGGTATACACGACGTTATATAGATCCATCACGTCTTCTAATGAGGAGTACATCTAGAAGTGGTATTCGATTATCTGCTTCTGTCTCCTTTGTAAATTTTGTGGCCTTATTTGCGGTTGATCCAGTTCACTGCTTGAATCAGCTATACAAAATGTCATCTACATACCGACAATATTTACGAAGACTAATAACGGTGCCTTTTAGTCGGTTATTCTCCAGCCTCGCCATGAAAAGTTCCGCCAAAAGGGGTCCTAGTGGTGATCCCATTGCTACTCCGTCATTCTGTCGGTAGACCGTTCTGTTGGAAAGAAATTGAACGCTATACGTACACCGAAATAAGAATTCGCGTTGCGCTTCTGTGGGTATCCCCAAATTAATTTTGTTATCCATAGGATGTTTTATGATGAACTGGATGTTTTCCACTAGCGGCACATTTGTGAGAAGTGACGTGACATCCATGGACAGCACCACCTTAGCTGACACGTCTATATCTTGTATTGCTTCCATAAATTGGAAGGTATGCGTAACACGATATACCGATAACTGTTTCCTTTCGGGTTCAAGGATTTCAGCCAACCTTTCAGCGACAGCATGGTATGCAAAATTAGTCACCAATAGGATAGGACGAAGGGAAACCTGGGCTTAATAGATTTTTGGTAAACCAAATAGCCTCGGAATGCATGAACCGGTAGGTCTTATGCGTTCATGTAGTTCACTGCTTATGTAACCCTCTTAATAGAGTCGTTTCAGTATCCCCGTGATTTGTTGTTCAGACTGGTGTGTTTTGCCTTTTTTCCGTTGCTTTGGTCGTGAACTTGTCCTCTTCCGATACGATAGCTAGCAGTTTGTCGGTAAATTCCTTCTTGTCCATGACCACAACACCGGTTCGGTTATCTGAGCGATTGAAAATTATATCTTTATTATGGGTTCGTTCACATAGTGCCCCAATGTGATCTTTGGTAATGGGGCCAGCAGTGTGGGATTCAACTCTGCGGTATAAAAAGCATTAGCGAGAGTTGATTTGAAAGCTTCTATCTCTTTGATCGAACTAGGCACTAAATCCCGTCTCTGACTAAACAGGTTTTCGACCTATACCTCCAAATTCATGAACTCATTCTTATTTCTTTTGGGAAAATAAAACTTTGGGCCTAACGATAGAACCTCGATCTGCTTTTGATTCAACAACTATTCACATCAGTATATAATACAGTTGAACTGTGGTGCTCTTTATCTCGCATTCTTCGACTAATCGATTTCGGTGGGTCAACCCCCCCCTCCCCCTAGGATACTGGAAAAAAGCCGCTTCCACGCACCTGCTACAACAAAATCTACAACTTTGCATTATGGAATAGCGTGTAGACAAGTTTCCTGTGAGTGGGAATTACAACAAATTTGTACTCCACATTTGAGTATAACGTAAACGCACCGGCACATCTAAATCATAACGGGAACAATGTTCCAAGCATTGCAATATCTGACCATTTTGGATTGATCGATAGAAAACTCATAGCAATAGATATAAAGAGGTAGATAAATCCTGCAATCCTGCTCGTGGTTGCTTTGTTCCTGTCTCCAGTTCTTTGAGAAACCTTCGAAACGAGACAAAAAATGCTTCGAAACTAAGTATTCGTGAAATCCTATGGTCCAGTAACATGCTACATTTGGTCAGTTCAGGGAAAATCAATTAAGCCTTGTAGGTATGTGGCAAGTCAGCCGTAACCTGCATGAAAGTCCTGACTTGGTGAGGGGCTTTCGATTGGAGCTAACAGGTTGTACCTGTGTCTCTCTTTGTTACCATCGGGTCAAATGAACTGACTAACTATCACTGAAGACAGCATCTGAACAAACATGAATTGGCAATTAGGTTCAGCCATGGCGTGAGCTGGTTGGCGCGGTGGTAACACAAACGCTTTCCATACGGTGGTTCCGGAGTTCAAATCCCGGACAGGATGATAAATATGCACTACTGATGAGCTCTAATAAGAGCGAAACTCAAATCCAATGCTTCCGACGGTGTGCTTCAGTCGATGAGCTAAGGATTGTGAGTGAAGGTGAATTCCGAAGGATAATCAGTCAAATCAATCAATATCAAATTTCCCACACGCACTACTCACAAATAAGTAAGTTAAATAGAAAAATGAATTGTTTTAATCTAATCACCTTTGTTTTGCCTTTTCAACAGATGTGCCATTCCCTCACTGTGCCGCAATCCTCCATCCGGTTTGACGGATAGTATAGCATGGGCGGTGGCAAAAACGGATGATCTGTTTTTGACAGCCCAAGCAAGTAAAATACCGGCCAGTGCAACGATTCTTTACTCATGGACTTTACGCCTAATGTATTCAAATACTCTGGGCCCAATACTATCCATTTCTGTGCTATCCTTTTACACAGAAGGTAAGTCTGGGAGGAGGGCAATTTATAGATGAATTCACGAGAAGACATTCGGGTGGAGCAGATTTTTTTCTTCAGAAAGTTGGAAGACGATTTTCGCACACACGCACACACATATATATACTACTCATTATGAATAATTCTTCAAAGACCATCAGGTCACGTTTGTTGCGGTTAGTACCATCTAACCCATTTACAAACCATTGAATTATAGCATTGATTCTTCAATTAACTGGCTCTGAAACAGCTGTCTATCCAATAGTCATCCGGTATTGCAAACAAGGCTATTGTAAAGAAAATACACTTCTTGGGTAAAAGTATATGAATGAACTGACGAAAGATTATCCGGTATGCATGCCTGACGAGCGGCAGGGGCCACGAGATTGGTCGTGTGCTTCCAAGGAAATTTCGTCCAGTCATTCACATACTACTTATTATATTATATTATATATATTATATACATATATATTATTATATTATATTATATATATATGCAAACACGTCTTTCTGCGTAGCCGAAGATGATAGACAGAGTTGCGCAATATCGAATTCATTATTGATTTTCTGTGTGGCCCCTTGCATGACTCAAGCGGCACAATTATATCACGCATGATTTAAAGGGTCACTTGTACGTGCGGAATCCACGAAATTCTTGGGAAAATTCACCCGAAAATGAGGCCTAATTATGGAAATTTCAATGGAAACTTTAGTGTGCAACACGATAAAACGTTATGTGAATCTCACTATCCGCAATTGGCTTTCCGTGGTTTAATTTGAACTTATTGTGTTGCTTCTGTGTACAATACATTTCAGGATAGAAGCAAAAGACTGGTGTGCTATGCTAGATCCTCAATGTAAATTAATTAACCGACAGTGTTTATCGGTCAGAACAATTATCGCAGCTAATACCCGATCCAGTTGTTCAGTTATTTTTTCAAGTTGTTATTACATAAAATCCAACATTCAAATAGGTTTAACTGGTCTATAAATTTTTGTAATTCAATTCCTCGGAGTATGAAACCACGACGTTCGAGTATTATCCCAAGCTGTCCCGTTGACTTTATCAACACTGTCAGGCCGAAGTGCTGTGGGACGTGCCTCGGATACAAGGCAAATGATCAGGATTTGGCGCATTTGATTGAGGCAAGCCGCACAAATGTTCACCTCCACACTTTAACGGGAGGTTGAGAAATCTGTGCTGCATAGTGGTCATCAAGCCATTGCTATGAGGCTTGAACAGCGCTGAAAACGTCAAAAAGACGACTTGAAATGACACTAAACAAGATTAGAATGATACTAAGAAAACTTGAAATGATGCTGAGACAACTTGAGCTGACCCCCAAATATCGTGATTTGATACTCAGACAAATTGAATTGCGGAAGGTACTGTCAGAGGTAATTTAAAGTGGACCGCATCAAGTCACTGAGTCCGTACCGATCCGCTTCCATCGAAATGCGACTGACTGGCCTCGCGAGTAGCGACGAATTCAATGTTTTATCGCTTTGTACATGCTTTATGTGAAAAATGGATTCCTAAAAATCGTGAGTAGACTTTCCTTTTTTGCCAATACAGTGTACTAATTATCGGCGGAGATAATCAAAACAGATTTCTTTGAAATGTCATATAGATTGAGTCCAATTTACATTGAAATGTCATCTCTCTCTCCCTCTGCACAATGCACCACAGGCGGGACGACATCCACACTAAAAGTCAAAAAAGACTTCTTCAAAATAGATGAGTCTGCAATTGGTTGTATGATTTGTGCGAATGCAGACTATGCGGGAAATGTGGGATCCAGTTGTCTACGGTTCGTCTATCTGGAAGCACCAACTCAGGGTACATGTCAGTTCCAGTTAGGTAACGTGGCATCCTACGGTTGTATCACATGTACAAATTACAGCTCAAACTACGGCGACCTCAAATACCAATTTTGGTGTAAGTTTTTATTTTGGAAAATTTGTTCATGCTGAATTCCTCCTGGCATGCAGCGTCTAAAATGGCACCCAAAATTAAAAGCACACTCAGATTTTTTGACTTATTTTTCGACAATGAGAACAACACAACGATCATTGTTCATACAGTTGTGACCGAAGGCAATGTCAGTTAGAACAAACTGGACCAATTCAAAAATATCCCCGGCGAACAAATGTGATGTAATGTAAATGCATTATTATAGGGTCAGTACACCGTTGATAACAACTCTTTTAGCCCAGTTCATCCTCAACACTATTCCACCCATTTTTGAAGTGAAAAATTAAAAGCGGAAACTTGTAAGTGCGGCTCCGTAGCTCGTTTTACTTGATGACTCGTTCAAGATTGTAAATGTGACTCAAACAAATTACAGGAAAAGTACCCCACGCCGTTTATTGTTCGTTGTATGGCCTCCCAAATATGACTTATTGCTTCCTAATAGTAATAGAAATTATCCCAATAATTCAGGTTAAACTGCCATCTTCACGACATATCATTCCTTATTATTGGCCTCCGACCCATTAAAGTCGATATAGAATTTGATTTTGATTCAAATAAACCACCCGCATCATGGTATACTTGAGTCACGGGTTTTAGGCTAGTGTCCGCTGAACATGCTTTTGATGTTACCAGTCTCAGATCTGGTTCTGATTGTGCTGTTCAAAACCGATACGCTGACTCCGAGCTTCATTCTGTCGGTCAAAGAGCTCATGATTTTCCAACAGAATGGCGATTTATGTGTAGTGATGAACCCTCATTTTCGTTAATTATCACGTCATGACCGCAACTGTCTGAAAAACAGTGCCTTCGTTTTCTTTGCTTCTGACGAGCTGTCCCTTTCATATTTTGCCTTCTCATTGATGTTGCTATAAACAGAAAAATAATAGACCGACTGTTCTTTCCCAGCGATACGGGGCTATATGGGGTTCCACTACCTACCTACCTGGTTCATCGGATGTTTTGATATATACCAAATTTCCATGCACTTCGTAACTGAAAATACTGTAGGGTTTTGATACATCAACAGTGACATATCGAATAGTTCTATTGTCATAATCACATAGGAGAGATGAACTGCCCCCATCATTTTAGAACACAGCAACTAACTCGTGTCTGAAAGTGGAACATCTCAACGAACCAGGTCTGTGCTCGATGTTATTCTTATGATTCGCCAGAACAAACCATCAAGTTGCATTGTGGAAGAGGGACAATGGAAACCGTTTTGGATCAGCCGAAACCGATTGGCACTGATAACCGTTATTTGTGATATATATTCATTAAGCAGAAGTGATGGCTAAGAAAAATCTAGTCAGACTTCATGTATAGTTTTCTATTCAAGCACATCTCATTCTGGAGAATAAGGAAACTAGCAAACCCCTGGTCGTAAGAAATTACTGTAATTGGAAATGAAACCTCTGTCTTGAGGCTTACATTGGAAACCCACAGTAGGCTTCAATGGGGTAGCTGATTTATCAAACCTAACACACGTATTTCCGTCTACCACAATTTTAAATTCTAAAGGCAATACTGAAACCCTATCATTCTCAAGCAGGCATGGGAATTCTATCGAGTCAGCCGATTTCAAAAGATAATTATCGCTCTTAATAATGAGATAACTTGCAATGGACGACCATTGCGACTCGCATGATGAATTCTCTTCTTACATGAAAGTAACGGAGGATTTGATTTAATTTCCGAGTAGTAAATGTTTCCAACCGAGTCATAACCCTGGAGGCTAGCGTTGGGATGAGCGAGGCGTGATACCCGCAAAGATGGATTGCGCTATATCTTGTAAATGGAATATGGAAAAAGGGTCTGATCAGCTACCCAGTTGCCGAGTGGGTAGTACGCTTGCGTTCTGCCTGTGAGTTCCCGGGTCCGATCCCCAGTTGGATTGATGGATTCGCGCGGCTGATGAGAACCAACCAGATAAAAACAGTTGTTTAGTTCCTCCCAGCTTTTCAGTTCACGCTTCATTTGCTAATCAATACTTCTTACCTACTTCTCAACCTAATTAATTAGCAAATTCAGCAATTGATATTGAGTTTTTTTAGGGAGGGGGAGAGAGTAATCACGACGAAGACGTAAAGGAAGTTGACTAACCTCTGTTTAAGTGACTTCGATGATAGGAACGGACGAGCGTTCACGTGGAACCAACCGCCGGAGCCAGTCAGGATAAGCTGAAGATAACGTGTAGGATCATGCATGTTCAGGGTGGAGCCGTCACACTCTTGGTGGATGCACAGATCTGACTATCCCTTGCAATAACGAAACAGGGGGTATGGTACCCCTAAGGCTTTTCAATGACAGGCTGACAGTACTCAATGAATCAGTTTCTATTTGTGCAGTTTACAACTACACGAATAAATATGAATTCCGTCAACATGTCTCTTTTTGTTGGGAATAAATGACGCAATGGAAAGGCATGNAAGGCATGTGTTTACGGAATAATAATTATTATTTAGGAATAACTTTCGAAGAAGGTACTCGATTTAACGTTTGTGTCTGGTTTTGTAGTCGGTTGTAGTGTTCTACCATACATAGTTCCTCCTTATGTAGTGACTCATCGTCTATCTCACACAGACAAATTTTGAGGGTTTTGAGAACCAACAAAATGCGAAAAACATCCTCTTCGTATATTCGTCTTCAGGTCTTTACAGACACACATGATTATATACAAAATACGTTAGAATGTTGGTTGACTGATTGATGAAGTGGATTCCAGTTGACTGAACTAATTTGAAAGCCGAACTAAAAACGGAGGACTTCTACGAATATGGTGGGTGAGTGGGGTGGGTGGGGTGCTCATTGGTCGTGCTTGTGGAGTTCTGTGGTAGGATTGCTCATTTTCTCGTCATGGAGGTCACAATCAGGTTCACTTCCCATGTCACCTGGAGACGAGAGCAGCTGGAGTACTTTGACCGGCTTTTTCCGTGTACATAGCGATGGATTGACTAGTCTGATTACTGCCACTTCCGCTGTTACTTAATGGATTTGTCTTTGGAGCTTCGGTCTACTCGGAGGCACCCCGTACATAAATTTAAAATCGTCCTAACCAACCTAATACTCTGTTTCTTTGAGGTGGGCTTTGACTTTGCTTGTCTCTGTTTACCCACATCTCGCGCTCAGCCAGACCCGTTTCTTTTTTCGATTGTCGTTTAACTCAGATCACTCTCAGCAGGCATAAGTGAATCGATAGGTAACCATTACTGAAATGAGGTTAACAGTTTATCTTTGAGATTCGTTGGTACTGCTGTCCTTCTGATGATCGTTGTCATGGCGAAGTGACTGGATAGGTGCGGCCAACAGCCGCTTGAGTACATCACTTATTACATTACTTTTGGAAGTTAATCAAAAGAATAAATCAGTTAATTCTAGCATCTTCGTTTCTGGCGGTGGTGGTGGTTCTTTTATAATGCTTTTTTAAAAGCCGCTCACGGCATCCATTGTTTGAAATATGTGCTCATGTTTTTTTCTTTAAATTAACCCTTTATTCGTTCCTCACAATGGATTCGCGGGGTGCTAGGTTCTAAGCATTGTAAGAGATTCTTCTTTTACATGATGGGAACGAAGTTTATTAACTGGATGTATTGACCGTTCGCAGTTGACTGCTGTTTTTTCCAGCTTTGCTTAAAAGAAATTAAATTCTCAGCATTGATGCTTTTTTATACAAAATTAACGTTAAAGCGGATTTGGTGCATAGGTTCCAATATTAAGTTTACAAGAATAAAAATGTCTTCAGCAAAGCAGCGGTATTGAGAAAGTCTTTGTGTAATGCCCTGTAGCTGGATATTTTCCAGTTTAGAGATAAGTATATCTGCTAGCAGCGGTACCGGTTGCGATTTCATGGCCACGCCGTCCATCTACGTCTAAATTTCTACACGGAGTAATAATTGGATGTTGAAAAATTCATCTTAGCAAGAGTTCCTTCAGGGATACCATTGGGATTCTATCATGTATATTCCCTTCATTTATAAACTGGCATAAAAATGTTACCGTTTTGAATAGCGGAACGCTCGCGCAAAACAAATGCACGTTGAATGAGCTCTTGTTAAGTTCGTTAGCGTCTGTCTCAATCGAATTCAACTAACTTAAAGTGTCTTTTGGGATATATCGTGAAACGTTTCAGAACGTTTACGGGTCATCGAGCACTGGGATCCTTAAAAGAGTAGCTCACATCGAATACTAGTAATAACAGTATTCTTGCCTGGTGAAAGTTTGGCAAAACATGCAAACATGCAAAACTTGGGGCGGTGGTGGCCCGGTGGTAACGTCACCAAATTACCACCTCGTGGAACGTGTGTTCGAACGCCACCACCATCGCCTAAATTTCCCCATGGCAGCCCTTTGATTGGTCGCTTCCCCCTTCCTGAAAATTGTGTCATTGTGTATTCAATAAAAGGAAGTAAAACTAAAAAGAAAAAAAGAAAAGATGAGGAATGCGGGTTTCATTCAGCTTAGGCTTCTCACAATCAAATTACGATGGATGATTTTAGATTCTTCCAACCTTCAAACAATTGGTCAATCGTTATTCACCTGTTTGTCTCATATCTCTTGTTCTTTATGACTTTCTTCCTATCACTTAGGATTGTAATTATCTATTGTGTTCAGTGCCAAAATACCTTCACCCGTATCCAAATTTTTAGGTCAGTGACTTTCTCAACCGCCATAGGGAAATGGCATATTTCGAAAATAGTGCGGTTCAGGATTTAGACGGTACTCCGGTGGTTTTCAAATCTTTCCTTGGCTTTTTGTTACCGTAGATAAACAGTTCAACTGGGATTGAAGATTCTCAAACAGTTTTCGATTAAGGACAGATTCTCGGACCAAGTGACAAGGCCTCAAATAGTGTTTTACTAGTTGGTAGGTCACATGGGTTACAGGCACATAGTTCTCAGTTTTGGACGAGTCTTGATCACGGTTTCGTATTGTACAAGCTATTTGCCAGTTTAAGCCATCTCGTACCTGTACGTTTCCGGAACACATTATCAAGGAAGTAATCACAATGATTGCCCTTACTGTCTATGTTAAATGCTTCCAAATTGAGTTTGTGCTGCACGGCATTCCCTGGTAAGATCAGAAGACTGGTGTGTTCATCTCGTTTCTGGCGTCACGTCTTAAGCTGACTGCAGCTGTTCTAAATTGGGCACACGGTAAAATGTCCCAGTAACCTTTTTGGATATTCATTTCGTTCCACATATCGATAAAAGAACTGTATCTTTGTGTTCACTTCTGCAAATCTGAGTTTGAAGCATCTATGAGGATTCAGTTTTGTTGTTATCATAATTTGCGAAATAAACACATCCTTAAAGTCAATTTGGGGAACATAGTTATCTTAACATCAGAGGGTTCTAGTAATTGTTTTATTTTACAAATGGTTAGAAGCTGTTGACTGATCACTTAAATGGCTTAGGCATCCGTCTCACATTGCCATGAATAATCGCTTGTTTCCATCTACACCCCTGCCATTTTATCTAGTAAATCTTAATCCTCGTAGCACAATCGCGGCAGATAGCGATTCCTCTGTGTGTGTCACCTTGCCGGTTACGAAAGGACCCGTCAACCTATGTGTGACCGTATCCGACACCTACGGTAATGAAGTGCGGAATTGTTTCGCTAAAATCAACGTAAGTAACGTATGTTTTACCTTCATCGGCAGAATAATATGCTTTGAAGATAAAAGTTGAAACTTCTTTGGTTTGTGAACTGCTCATTCGTCGATTCTTATTCGTTCTGGCATGATGCCAAGCCAAGTATGCAGTTGTGTTTGGGTGTTCATCGCACTTGTTGGATAAATTCCAAATGTTTCATGAACAGTCGAATTTACCTTCCCAATGTAGTTGTTTGACCAGAGCTTCTGAAATGTCCTTTATAAGGCACAATTTATTCAGTGACTTGGCAATATTTGGAAAATACTGAATGGCTATTTTCCGAATTCGCTTCACCGAAAGATGGTGGCTGATCGATTAGGACTACAGAAGTAAACACTATTCGCTTAGCCAACAATATGGCTTCCCGAAATTAAGTCGATTTCGAGACAATTCAAAATAGTGTTCTGCAATGCAATTCTCAGTCCCACTTATGATCGCCCGAGTCCTCAGCTAAGGTAGATAAAACTGGATTGGTATTTGACTGCGGTCCAGTAAGTACTAGACATGGAAATGAATGTTGGATCAGAACAACCGAAAAGCAATCGTACATTAGTCAACAGCTTCTGCTCAACATTAGGATTTCGATGACGCGGAGGGGAAGGTTATTTCTACGCAGTTGCAACACAGGTGCTATTTCAATCTGTTTTGCGTATATGCGCGTCTGTAATGCACTACACACTTGTTCATCAAACAACCCGGACTCCGTCGATTAGCTCACAGAAGTTCGTCCTCTGTTGTCATTAGGTGAGAGCGTTAATCGATTGATTCTGTAATCAACAAGTACTCATGCTGAAAAGAAGATGCTTTGGCGTAGACAGCATTCAACTATGTTGCAAGGACCGGAAGCACCGGCTCGTATGATGGAGTCAAATGGAATTACTCTTTTATTACCCGTGAATGGGGCTGTTCCAAGCGAAACGATGTACAATGGTAACGTGCAAGTGCGCTAGCATGCACGGAAAAATAACACCGAATCCAGGGACACTCTTTTCGAGGTACACCTCAATTGTACAACAAGTGGCAGACAAAAACCTGATGCTTAACATCATTTTTCGCTGCTACTTGACTTTTTGCAATATTTTCTTGATAAAATGTCGCTTGAGCAATCAGCTTTCTAGATTGATTTCTAAAAGTTTGGTAGCCATATTTTCAGTGCACTAAATTTATTTTATTTATGTGAAAAATGAACTAAATTTGTCATTCTCGTTATATATGATATTTGTTATCCCGGTGGATGTAAACCCCATTGTTTTGCCCTATACTGCAACCATAGTAAGAATATTTAGTTTTAAGAGGAAAATATTGTCAAAATGCAATATATCGTGCGTTTATGTTCGAAATAGCTTCATTCAGAGCAGCATGTGAGCGTACTCCGATTGCTTGTTCAAATGCAGATGAAACTTCTTTTTCTCATCATCACGTTGCTTTCCTCGTTCCGTCTCACTCCACAATTCAGGTCCCACCACCACCGAAGGAAAGCATACTGTCCTCTGCAAAGAATTTGATTGAAAATGGAAACACAGCGTTGCAGAATGTAACTCTGACCGGGACCCCGTTAGCAAAAGCCTCCGCGGTGGCGTTAGTGACCAGCACTGTGAAAGAATGGAAAAACATTGTGACCGAGGGTACTTTTGCTAATCTCTTGGTAGTTTTGCACATTCTATCATTCAGACACCCACGAGGGTATAAAAAACCCAAATATTATCATGTTTCGCTGCAGTTCTGTATTGAATGCCACCTTGTTAGTTTTTGTTAACAATCTGAAATCAGGCGATATCTCCGAGAGAGACAAGGGGCCTTGAAGTTGTTCCGGTTTCAACCGAAATTGGGCAACTAGTTGATTGCTGCACTGCGGAAGAACTATCACAATTTTGATTTTTCACAGTTTATTTTCAACTTTCCGTCTAATTCTTAGTTTGATCAATCAAACAATCAACTAGGGAAGTACCAGAGCTCATCAGTAGTGGTATTCAACGTCCTGTCTAGGGTCCAAACTCTAAACTGTTCACTCGAAAGCCTCCTTAGTAAAGACTGTGAGAACTATATCAAATAGTTACCTTTATTCACAGAAATGGTGGAATCTCAAGGTTAGCAAAACACGTCAACTTTCGTTGTTTAATGAAATAATCACTTATTTAATGAAACAGATAAGGCGGGTAATTATCTTGTTTCCATAATGACAAAAAAATAGTTCTTTATATTACTGCAAAAACAACAATTGCTACAGGGAAAACATGGATTATTCTGGTTTTGTATCAGTTGTAGGTGATATAGATAGGTCTCGGAAGACAATCTGTTTGTAACACAGACTTTTGGATTGATTTAAAATGTTGCTTGATTTTTATGACATGAGTGATTAATTAGTCATTATAGAGGTGCATTTAAAATGAAAATGTCAGTCGACGCAGTAGAATCGGAACAAATTATCAATGGATCGAAGCTGTGATTCCTGTGTGCGTTGAGTGTCGATGAGTAACATTCGCGGTGCATGAAAAACTCTCAACTATTTGGATAAGACCAAACTTTACGAGTGTTCACATTGCTGATCATTCGGTATTCGCCATCAACTACTGAGTCCTATTTATGTAGTATCAAACATTTCCGTTTCCCACACACAACCAAAGGTCGAGACAACTGGTATTCGGTTCATGCTGTGCTTGTTATTGCATCTAATTATATATATTTAAGGTCCCCGGAGTAAGCTGCGGTTAAGTCCTATGATTGTGACTAATCACTAAATACCTGTGGGTTATAAAACTGTATCCTGATACGATTAAGCTTTCACCGTTAGTAAAGCGATCCGATACATACCCTTATCGTGACTCATATAAAGTTCATTTCCATGGTTAGAGGATGAATTACCGGTGAAAATATGCTCTCTCTCCCCGAAGATGGTTCTGCTGTAACGCATTATATGTATTTGGAAAACCAAACCGTACACGGTGTACATAGAGTTTGGTCACGAGTTCCTTACCTACAAAATCCGTAGCGTACTGCAATTTGAACCTTTTACATCTTCAGTTCGAATTTGTATAGTGCTAGCATACTGTCAATAACCGAGTTTTTACGGATGAGTGAAAGAATTATACGATAAAAAATATTTTGAATCTATTTTTATTTACCTGCTCTCGTTCTCTCTCGTTCTTTTTATTATACTATCAAATGTAGCAAGTGCAAGCAAACCGGTGAGTTTAAGTTTCCGACTAACTGCCACTTTTAGTAATTCAACTGCTCACATGCTAGTTGTATCTTGTCATAAATCTATCCTACTCCTTAATTTCAATGTTTTTTTATTATTTGGTATCAGTTGTACCGCCAACCACAGCCTCATTGGTGTCATGGTAATTAGGGTGTCCTGTAACCGGTTTAAAATCCCTTGAGAGACTTCGAATCAGGGTTTCTGACTCCGGAAGATGCGCGCCAACTGAACAGTAGCCACAGATTTAGCCTTTTTTCATTCTCACTTTCGGTGAAATTGAGTTTATAAAGGCTAATGAAACGAAATCCGCCTTATAATTCACTTATCGTTGAGCTCGTTGAACAGGGGAGTTCGTTTGTTTCACATAAAGTGCACTTCTGAAAGATAGAGAATACCTGAGCGATTGAAAATGCCCCGGGTAGTTTTGAAAGACAAAACATTCGCGGACAAAGATAAGGATTATCGATCAAGGGCAACAAAAACTGCCTTAGATCACTTCACATTAGTAACTGTGAGTCAACAATGAGTATCGGTCGTTAGACTCCGATAGGCGGAGGCATAGTCTTTCCGCAGGACGAAGACATCTATTTGATGCACGGTTTTAAGTCACATTGACGAGGGTTTCCAACTAAGAGTGCTTATCATGATTCTGACTCTCCTAGTGAAACTGAAAACACCTTCCGATCGCCAGTTTTGATACCTGAGTCTTCCTACCTCGAGTCTGTTCTTGTCGTTCCCAAAGGGTATCGAAATGGGTGGCTTTGAAAGTTTACAGTTCACGGTTGAACAAAAAATCACTTGTTGGAGAAGACGGGTGAGTAAGAACACAAGTCAGAAGTAGATACACACCGCTCGACAACAAAAAACGCAAGGATTAGGGTCATCCAAAATCAAAGCACACGAGGAAATTAAA